CCAATTCTAGACATGTATTTATAAAAATACCCAATCACTATTTAAACATAGAAACATACCCAAAATGGATTTTGGGTATGTGTGTAATGATGGGTTTTGGGTATGTTTATAAATGTGTTTTGAGTGTGTGTAATGATGAGTTTTGGGTATATTTATAAAGTGTTTTGGGTGTTGGGTATTTTTATAATTTCAGCCCCCATTTTGGGTATTTTAGTGAAACTCCCTTTTTTCGTTTCAAACAATAAATACATAGATATTTTTCACATGTTTTCATATTTTTCATTCTTTTCCATAATATTGCATTAATTGAATTGAAGAGTTTGTTGGAGCATAAATTATTAAAATAGCAAACAAAGCTTTTCAAATTGTCATGTAGGTCAACAAACTTCAATTTGAAAAGTTTAGTTTGCTACTACTGTTGGAGATTTGATTATGAAAGAAATATCTTTCTTCCCAATGCACATGGGGTTATTAATAGCCATCTATTTCATAATTATGACGTAATAATTAAATTAAACCATTGGCCCACTTCCTCTGGATTTCATTTATAGTTTATGGTTATTTGTTAATCGTAGAGGTGGGTTCGGTTTGGGTTGGTTTAGTTTTGGGCTCAACCCAAACACCGAACTATGGGCCTCGGTTTGGCTATTTTGGAAACCGAAACCAAACCATAACAAAGAAGAAGAAGAAGGAAAAAAAAAAAAAAAAGGGAGACAGGGAGAGGGAGTGAAGACAAACGTAAGAAGAAGGAGAAAAAAAAATAGAGAGAGAGGGACTGATGGAGACAAGACAAACGAAGAAATGGAAAGAGAAGAAAAAGAAAAAAGAAATAAATAAAAAAGAGAAGACAAGATGCATGTGTGTGTTGGGGGTTTTTAAAAAAAATCAGTCAGGCATGTGTGTTGGCTTGCCCAACAACAAAAGCCAGCTTTTTAATTATTTTTTTACTTCGTTAAACTATGTATTATATATAATATTTTTTTAATACCATCGGTTTGATTTGGTTAAACCATGGTTTTGAATATTGCAAATCGTACACCGAACCATATATTTTGGTTTAATTTGGGTTCAAATCGATGACAAAAAAAAATTTTAAAAAAAACTAAACCAACCCAAACCATCAGTTTGATTGGGTGGTTTGACCAGGTTACCAATTTGAATGCCCAGCCCTAGTTTATGGCGACTATGACTTCTCTGTCTCTCCTGCCCCATGAATGTTTTTAGGTAGATAGTGGACTCTAGTTAGTTACCGTTTAACTACATGACAGCAATTGCTAAAAAAGCCTATTGAATCTCAACAATAATCCCTATTTTCAACTTTTTATAAAGATTTTGCTAAAATGTATTGTATGTGGGCAATTTCTGATTGTTGATCGCAATTACATGACACGTTGTAAAGCTGAACCAGCGAGACGTTACTGGAGATAAATAGTGTACACTTTACACCATTACCTAACTTTTTAAACTTGCTGCTGTTGGACATGTCCTCTGTGATCGGGTAGCACATGTGAACGATCCAAACTAGTTCCTTTTCCATTTATTTCTTGCCGTGGTTTTTGCTGATTGGTGGGTCAAGTAGCATTGATTTCTAGCTCGGTTTAAACCAGCAAGACGATAAATGAAAACCAAGTGGAAAATGGAACTTGTGGTTGGTTGCATCAACATAGAAATAGTTGGATTTCTTTTGATGCAACTTCCTTGGTGTCTGCAACTAAAGTTTGTTTCAAAGTTGGCAAACAGAGAACCAAACCAATAAAAGTTCTAGACATTCTTGGAGTTTCAGAGCTTATGAATACCACCATGGAAGCAATTACAGAAGTAGAAGAGACATTGTCTGAGCTGAGGCAGACCTTCAAAAGTGGCAGAACCAGAAGTGTTGCATGGAGAAAAAACCAAGTTAGTGCTCTTCTTCAGCTCATCCATGACCAGGAAGACAAGATTTTCAAAGCACTCTATGAAGACCTAGGCAAGCACCCAGCTGAAGCTTATCGGGATGAGGTAGATTGCTTCTTCTTCTTCTTCTTTTTTTATTTATTTTTTCCTTTTTCAAGGCAAAGAAATTAGTTTGTATATAATATAAGAATTGGCTAATTCTGCTTTTGCTATTTCATTGTATTGTAGATCGGAATTGTGGAAAAAACAATCAACTATACTTTGAGCAATTTGGAGAAATGGGTGGCCCCTAAAAAGGTAATTTGATTAAATGATCTGTTGTTGGGCATGGCTATGAACTCATGAACTTATGTTCAGACTGGGGGAAGATGACATACACATTGGCCTTAGGGTTTAGCTAAAAATGATCAAGGTGAGATGACAGAGTAAAACTGGTAATGAGATTTCAACCCTCCCATGATACTATATCCTCACTTGCCTCTGTACACTAAAACTGATTTTGGGCGTTCTGGTTATTGTCATCTATGTGAATTGCTGGCAATTTTATATTGGCAGAGTCGATTACCGTTGCTTTTGTTCCCCACAAGGGGAGAGGTGCTGCCCGAACCACTCGGCGTGGTTCTCATTTTTGCATCTTGGAACTTCCCAATATGTGAGTCCAGTTATACCCGGATCTTTGACATGATTGTTTCTTTTGCTACACAAGAAGGAAGGAATTCAGCAGTTGCTTTGTGACAACATTTGTAATTGTAACACTAGCGAAAACTGTTCGAATTTTGTTATGTTGATATAAGATTCTCAAATGGAAATATCTCTCGAGTTTTGAGACTTCTGTTGATGAATTAGGCATCCAAGACACCCTGCTTCTACCTTCCCAACTTGGCAATAACAATATCATAAAACTGCATGTTTTAGATTTTTGTTAACAGTTTAAAGGACAAAGTAGAAAAGCTCATGTTCTGCTATTTATGCAGCCTTGGCGTTGGACCCTGTGATAGGAGCAATATCTGCAGGGAACACAGTGGTTCTAAAACCTTCAGAACAAGCACCGGCTTGCTCTTCTTTTCTTGCCAACACCATCCCTCAGTACATGGACTCTAAAGCCGTTAGAGTTATTGAGGGTGGAGCAGAAATTAGCGAACTACTCCTGCAGCAGAAGTGGGACAAGATATTCTTTACCGGTATAGATCTCCACAATTGCCTCAGAATATAGAATTTCTTTCACAATGAACAGATTTCCTTATCATTCCTGGTTTCTTTGGTGATCCGTCATGAAGATTATCAAGAATGCAATACATACAACTGTCATCAATAACACTTTGCTTCAAACACTAATTTGCCTTTCACAATTCAGGAAGTCCGCAGGTAGGGCGCATTGTCATGTCTGCAGCTGCAAAGAATTTAACACCTGTTACTCTAGAGCTGGGTGGAAAATGCCCTACTATCCTAGATTCCTTCTCCAATCCTTCAGACTTAAAGGTTTTCTGAGTTGCTTTATTTTGGTGCCTCTTTAAACTATAAATTTACTCGTATTAAATGCTTTTTTTTTGTGTTGGCCCTGAAGGTGGCTATCAAAAGAATTGTAGGAGGGAAGTGGGGGCCTTGCAATGGGCAGGCATGTATAGGAGTTGATTATATACTCATCGAGGAAAAGCTTGCTTCCACTCTGGTAAACTTGTCTTGAATAAATTCTTTGATTTATAGTTATGTGAGGACTTTGAGATGATTTCATATCCTAGTTGTATGTCTTTTAGATCGAATTACTAAAGAAAACAGTCAAGAGATTTTATAGTGATAGCCCCAAAGACTCAAAGTGCATAGCCAGAGTCATAAATAGGCGCCATTTTGAGCGGCTGCGCAATCTCCTCAAAGAACCTCTTGTGGCAGCTTCCATTGTACATGGCGGTTCAGTTGACGAAGAAAATCTGTAAGTTCTCAATCCTTTTAGTCGGTTTTTTGAATTGAATAAGATAACTCAGATTTCTTACTTTGTGTGGTGTCTGCTTTTTTTCTTCCCCCCCTGGCTTGAAGTTTGTAGTTTAACAATGCTTTTTGCTGGTCTGGCCCAAGCAACAAAATAATTAGTCTCTGTAGACGCTTATCGGTTTTGTTCTGCAAACTTTTCAGATTCATCGAGCCAACAATCCTGTTAGATCCTCCACTTGATGCTGCAATCATGACTGAAGAAATTTTTGGTCCACTGCTTCCAATAATCACGGTGAGAATTGCTATACCCCCTTTGTGATTATTAACTTCTCCAGTTCTCAAAAACGTTCTTTTTGTCTATTTTTACAGTTGAAAAACATTCAAGAAAGCATAGAATTCATCAACTCAAGGCCAAAACCTCTAGCCATTTATGCCTTCACTAAAGATGAAGAATTCAGGCAACGAATTCTATCGGAAACATCCTCAGGAAGTGTGATTTTCAACGACGTCTTGATTCAGGTACTGCATTTGTTATTTTCTAAGTGTTTTCCTTTTTCCTATTTGCTTTTCAAAACAATAAAAGGAGGCCAAAAACCTAACTACACATCTTTCTATGTACAGTTTATCTGTGATGCTCTACCCTTTGGTGGTGTTGGTCAGAGTGGCTTTGGCAGGTACCATGGGAAGTATTCTTTCGATACTTTCAGCCATGAGAAAGTAGTCATGCGAGGAAACTTCTTCGTTGAACTTGAGCCTAGATATCCTCCATGGAATGACTTTAAAATGAATTTTATCAGATTGGCCTACAATCTTGACTACTTGGGTCTACTTTTGCACTTCCTGGGACTTAAAAGGTAGAATTTCCATTGAGTCATACAAGTGATCTACAAGGTAGAATTTCTATTCCTATATCTTTATTTCGACAGGTCGATTTGGAACAACCTTGCCTGTTTTACTTATTGAGTGCTTTTAAATTTGTGCTGTATGTTTTCTGAAATATGTAGTTTGATACTCGTAACTATTTGTTAAGAAATAATTGGTTAACTGGAGTCTCACAAAGGCAATGCAATACCTGAAAGCATACAAGGAACTTTCTCCTACAACATCATCATGGAAACCAAAAGGATCTCAAAGCACAGGAAGAAAATTAAGACATGAACAAAAGAATTAAACACATTATGTACCAAGGAAATTGATAAAGCAATATTATTCCAAAATTTCATAAAAGTGAACGGTTTCGTCACAATCCAAAAAGTGCCTCTGGCCATTTCTTCTATTTAAATTTTTTTACAATTAATATTCTGGATTTTCCCAAGTCTGGAAATTGGCCTTCATCTATTTCAAATGAAGCAGGGTTTTTCACAGGGGGTTGCCGCCCTTCAAATCTACCATCCATCTGTGAATGATGTCCTTTAAATCTGCCATCTCCTTTGGAATGATGTCCTTCAAATCTACCATCCCTTTGTGAATGATGATTTCTTTCAAATCTACCATCCCTATGTGAATGATGATTTCTTTCAAATCTACCATCCCTATGTGAATGATGATGTCCTTCAATTCTACCATCCTTCTGTGAATCATGTCCTTCAGGAACACCATCTTTCTTCTTGTTCTGTGGTCTGTGGAATTCATTGATGTTAATAGTCTGTGTCTTGATCTTCACGTTAGCACCATCTTTCTTCCTGTTCACCTCTGCAGACTTATCTTGGGGCTTGGGGACAGAGACCTTCTTCTCCTCCTCCAATTTCTTCTTCCCAATAACTCGCATCGACTCAAATTCCTTAACAAGAGTCTCAGTCCTATCACAATCGCCATCAGAGCTTTTTTTCACAACTTCCACATCCTTTTTTTTGGCAACCTCCTTCTCATATTCTTTCAAAGTGAATGTATCAGTAAACTTTTTCTGAACAGAAACAGAACTTACAGCAGCACTGGTACCTTCAGGAGCTGCTGCTGCATTGTTGTCGCCTTGGTTTTTGTTAGCCTCTGCTTCCTTTTTTTGCTTCTTCAGCTTTCTCCGTAGACTTCCATTAATGTTCGGCTTTTTCTTTCCTTCAGAAGAACTCTTGTTGCTGCTTTCATGGACGTCATTACTCTGTATTTGTTGCTGCGTATTCCCCTCTTCCACACCACCCTGTTCTTGTTGCTCCTCCTCCACAACAACTTGAGACCCCTCCTCCTTCTCCAACCCCAACCCATTATTGTTACCATGGTTATTTTCAGCTTCAAAGTATCTTCCTCTTCCTTGGTAACCATTACCTCTCCACCACCTACCCCTCTCATTCCGAAAACCGCCTTGAGCCCTCTGCTGATCATAATTGCCATTATAACCCTCATTAACCCTTCCATAATTTTGGCCTCCATCTTCTACATGGCTCTGACCCCTCCCTTCATAACCACCATTACCCTCTTGGTAATATCGCCTCGGATAATTATAACCATGATTAGCCCTTCCATAATTTTGGCCTCCATTATTACTCTTTCCTCCTTCTTCTACATGGCTCTGACCCCTCCCTTCATAACCACCATTACCCTCTTGGTAATATCGCCTCGGATAATTATAACCGCGATTAGCCCTTCCATAATATTGGCCTCCATTAGCCCTCTGAGGAGGGCCATTGTAATGATTGGACCCCTCAGAGCCAGTACTAGCAGTACCGGACACAGGTCTTACAGCTTTAGGATCAGCACCATTCTGGGACTGGCCATTAATTGGATCAGACTGTGCTGAATCCTTAACCTGCACTCCGTTGCCTTCGCCTTGGCCTTGATCTTGATCTTTGTTTTTGCAAAGAACAATCTGGCTTTTGAGAAAACTGCGGGGAAGCACAAGACGCTTTGCTCGAATAGGCCTGGGATTAGAGTACCAAAACTCTGTCTTCCGCTGCCCTTGTGGCTTCTTCATTTTTTTCTCCTCCTCCCCCTTCTTCTTTTTCTCCTCTTCCTTGTTTTTCTTCACGACTGCCAAAAATGCATCCTCCGCCTTTGCATCGACAATGCCGATGAGCTCATTCTCATCCAAGAGTTTGAATGAGTTGATGAATGTTGCCATGATGGAATCAAAAGCAGGTTTTGCCTAAGCAAGTAGTGAGGGCTTTGCTAGGGTTTCTGATATCAAAGAGAGAACCTTAGAAAGCACAAGGAAAGGTCTCTCATCTTGGCTCTATTTATAAAGAGACCTATTTACTCGCTTTGCTTGCTCTCCAAGCCAAAATCAAATCCTACAGTTGTCCCTTTCCATTAGTAATTGATTCCTACTTGCTCCCCAAGCAAAACATAGGGAAACCAAAAACAAAACAAAAAAAGCTTTATTGTATTTACTTTTTTTATGGAAATCTTACACATGTTTTTTGTTGATGAAAATCTTATCTTTTTTATTATTTATAAAAATCTCCTGGAGGAGACCAAACAAATTCAATAGCCACCACGTGTCTCGGGGAGGATAAAAAGACTAAAATAGCCCTGGTAAAAACTGGGCTAGGTCCCCATCTGAGCCCAACACACCTGTACTTGGGCTCCGGCCCATCTATCGAATTATAATGCAACTTAAAACGAATAAATAAGCTCACGTGGAGAGTCTCAGTATACCCACCTCGTAAAGACTTTGACCACCACCATTCCATTACGAGTACATTGGATCCTAACCAGCCGTGTATGGACGCCGCGCATCGTCATTGTCTGCGCGCGTTCATACCGTACACCCCAGCGCCAGCAAATCACAACCCGCCAGAAACAGAGAATGCCCGAACCCACACGTGCCTGGCCATGAGAGGAGGAGCTATAAGCATCAGAATCTCCAGACTCAACCCAGCGCGACCACGACGACCCTTCTGCGTTCGCGCCACCACCACCGCCCAGAACTCCATGGCCGATCGCGAAGGCGATGCAGCTACAAAGACCCAAGCCACTCAACCAATCGAAACAGCGAAGTCGAAGGAAGAAGAATTGAAACCCGTCAAGGAAGCGGCTCCTCCGCCTCCGCCCCCCGAGAAGCCGGAGCCCGGCGATTGCTGCGGAAGCGGATGCGTCCGGTGCGTCTGGGATGTGTATTACGACGAGCTCGAAGATTACAACAAGCTCTACAAAAGTGATGAAAACTCCAATTCTTGATTTTTGCTTCGTTCGATTGGCTTCAATTTGATTGATGATGTTGTAGATTTGAAGATATTTGTATTCTGGATTTGATTATAGATTTTTTTAATGAAATTCATAATCACCCAAAATGAAATCTTTTTGTATATGCTGCTCAGCTGCTGTGAATCTCTGATGCTTGAAAACTTAAAAATGAAAATTTTGAAAATTGGGGGAATTTTATTATTGGGGCTGCTAATTAATGGGCCAGGCCCACGGGTTTCTTTATGCAATTCTGAATCTTGATATAATTGGAGAATAATAGAATGGTGGGAATGTCGTAACAGAGCGATCGTCGTGTCGTCGTGGGAAGATGCGTAGGTTAGAGTTGTTGGGCGGTGCTGCGATCGCGGCGGTGGCGGCGGCTCTGGTATTGTTGGGAAACGTCGTCGTCGCAGAAGCTTCGACTTCGCCTTCGGCGTTCGTACAAAATGTCATCTACTCCAACAAGATTGCCATCTTCTCCAAATCCTATTGCCCGTACGTTACGTTCTATCTCTGTTGCTTGTTCGTTTTAGCTTTTGTGATAAATTTGAGGTCTTGGGGTTGGGGTCTTAATTGGGAATTCAGAAAGCGATCAAATTGGAATTTGAGAATTACGAGTTGGTCAATTTGATAATTATAAGAGTGTTAATGTCGAGGAAATTTGAAACCATCATCTCAAATGGGACCTTTTTACTAATTTATAAATTACTTTAACTTTGTATTAGTATTTGATTATCAATAAGAAAATTTTCATTTTCATGGTTGTGTTGCATTGTTTTCTAATTCTGGGAAATGAATTGGTGCGTTTCATCTACTAAATCTTCAGTTTTCTGTTATTGAAATGGTTCTCAAGTTGAGTATAAATGTTTAGAAAAAGAACTCCGTGTGTGAATTTAAGTGATGTTGGAATGAGGGATTGTGTGCTGTGCTGTTTTGCTGCTAGGTATTGCTTGCGTGCCAAGCGCATATTCAGTGAATTACATGAGCAACCTTTTGTCGTCGAACTTGATCTTCGAGGTATGACATAGCTATGGCTTTTATGGATCTTTGAGCAGCTGCTTCTCCATAATGTGAAAAAGGTTTGGATTAATTTTCAAAATGTACTTGTTTAGATGATGGAGCCCAAATTCAGAGTGTTCTGCTAGATATAGTAGGCCGAACCACTGTCCCACAAATATTTGTGAATGGAAAGCACATTGGCGGCTCTGATGGTGAGCTCTCATCTGTGTTTCTGCTTGCTAGCATGTTTGTGTGTGCTATTAAATATGTTTTCCCTTCCTTCTTTGCCCTGTGGTCAGTTGTTCATCTGCATTGTTACCTTCAGTCTACTTTTTAACTTGTGATTTTACAATTCAGATCTCAAAGCTGCAGTTCTGAGTGGTCAACTTCAGAAACTTCTTAGGATCAGTTGAGGAGATATATATGGAGCTGCATATGGCGATTAATGAGTTAGTTCTGTGACTTTGAAGTTGCTAAAATGGTTGGTGAGATTATGCCATTGTATCTGAATGATGTAACTGCAAAATAATTATCAATGTAGTATTGAATTTGCTTGACCTCATGGGTTTTGGGCATGATTTGACTGTTATTAGGCCGCCATCGTGACAATGTTCTTCTGTTATAACCCCTCACAGACATATATCACAATTGATCAACTATTAGCAACCTGTGTTTTCTATTCTGCAATCCAGATTGAAGCACTAACAACTGTCCCTCTTGTTGATGAGACCAAAGTGATAGTGCTTTCATTTTCCAAACGAATGTAATGTATGGTTTCTTGCATTTATGTTTTCGATGATTACATATATATCTCACAGGGTTACATGCAATTAACAACATGAACAAATACATCTCTATCTTGTTCAGTTCGTGTAGCAAAATTAGTTTGCATCCGAAACGACCTTAATGCTAGAAATTTGTTACATCAACAGTTCCGGCCTACAAACAGTCTGAGAGCACCATATATGAGCCGAATGCTCTGTTTGTTTGAATGTTAAGAAGAATTTCTATCTGCATATGTGTTTGGCCGCCATTTGCCTTTCTGTGCACTGAGCATCCCTTCTTGGTTTTTGGAGACGGTTAGACTAACCTCCCAATGCAGGGACTTCAACAAGTTCTCAACTTCCCCGATTGTGCTGGACTCATCACGGACTATGAATTTACCTCCAGGCCTGACAATCCTATCAATCTCTGCCAGTACAGGAGGAAGTTTGCATCTGCGACAACCAAAATAGGTACGGTTACCATGAATTCAAGATCACAATAGTGATTAGAATTATGAATGTGACGAGTTGTACCTCTTTTTAAGCTTTGAAAATAGATGGTCTGCATGGAGTAGGTCATAGGTTCTGGGATAAGTGCTAAAGGATTCACACCAGTCATGGTATATTCCGAAAAGACCGCGTTCATAGATTATGGGAAGTGTATCTGGTGAATCTACATTCACCACATTCATGACCCACACTTTAAGGTCCTTCAAAGCTGCAGCAAACCTGCACTCACGTAAGCACAACTTAGTTGAGATTACCACTTAGAACTAAGTAAAACAATTAGATAAATATAAGATCATCCTAATTAGTAGTAGTACCCTCCATAAACAGCTCTCATGTCCATGACATTTCTGACATTGGACCAATTAATGCCCAAACTTTTGATGTAAGTGTTATTGATGACTCTTTTCCAGTGTTCATAATCTCTTGCAAAATCTTGGGGTGCTGGCTTCCCATAGATGCCCATCTGGGAGCTGTTTAACCAGTAAGGAGGAGTCTGCAGTCGACTCGGCCATTTCTCAGGCCATTGAGTCCCTCTCTCCGATTTGTCAATCGGTGCCCGGTGCATGCATGCCTGCAGAGGTACGTACCTGCACAAAATACCCGAGTCATGATCAACTTGGCTGATCTAGTGATCTTAATCTTATTATGATCAACTTAGGCTATAGAACTAAAGTCATTATTGGAAGTTACCAGGCAGCATTGGGGTCATCATCGTTGTTGCACATAGGAGGCTGCTTTTGCTTTCTTTGCTCATAGCACTGATTTGAGGTGGGTTTGCGGTAGATGGCGGCCGCAACCAAATTTACCTTATCATTCTTGATGGCAACAACCTCCCAACACATGGACGCCGTCAGCGCAGACATTTCTACAAAATTGAAACATTCTCTTATCGAAATACTCTAGCATCGAATGTTGCCAATATATATAACGGGACAAGGAAACATTTTCCGCTTCACTATACATGTTACATGAAAAAGTTTGGTTCCCTACCCTTCCAAATTTCTACATCTTCTTTCTCCTTGCGGTAAACAGGAGTGGCTGACCACACAAAGTAACCCCCAGGCCGTAAAACCCGATTCAATTCCAAAAGTAGCATACCACCTGCAATGGTACATAAAAGAAATTGCCTAACCTTGTATATAATCAAGGGGAAAAACATTCCAGAAAGATCGAAGCTGATTAAATGAACCTTCTTTGTGCCAAGGGACCCTGCAACGGGCACAATGCACAACATCAAAGACCCTGCTGGGGAAGGGAAGCCTCTGGGAACCCATGACGGCAGAGATTGCAGGTATGCCCCTTTCAAGGGCAAACTGAACTTGAGCCTCATGCTCATCTTTGGGTGCAAATGACATTGTTAGAACCTCTCTGTCGAAAAGATAACCCCCAAAGCTAGCAACCCCACACCCGACGTCCAATATTACTCGAGTGTTCTTTCCCCATGCGATGCCCGGTACTGCCTGCATGCAACCAACAACATTAATTTCTTCATATGACCACTCAATTTTTGCCAAACTTTAGGCTCCGATTTGAGCTAATTAATTAAAACATTCCTAGATCTGTGATTGGTGTTATAATTCACTCCTATTATAACACTCATTTTACTTGTTGATCTTATACTCCAAAGTATAAACTTGTCATCAACTCATGTTATGAAATGTGGATTTGTTACATTATGTAGCGGTTTCTAGTATCATGCAATAATTTCTCGTAAATATATATTTTATAATAAATATAATTAAATTAGTAATATGGTATGTTTATTTGAATGACTGTTAAATCTAGTCACCTACATGCACACGTGAGTGATTTCTAACTGTAGATGTATCTAAATTCCATAATGGAGTTCACATACATCAACGACATAAATTAGCTAACACATCAAGATCTATCATGCGTGGATTAAAACTATAGTACTTCTTGCATTACTAGTATACATGTGATAAAATGGTTTTATTTTAGAAAAGTATATCAAAGATGAAGAGATGCTTACGTTTTGAAGAAAGTCAATGTACACGAGGGCGCCATGTATGAACTGGGTCCCACCACCAGGAAAAGTCAACAATTCACCGGACACCTTAACCCAGTTCTGGTGGCCCTTCACCTCCGCCAGCAATGTGTGCGGTACATTATGGTACCATATCTGCTAGACCACAATAAAAAAGTTACATACCCACTCATCCAACCGTTGGATTAATTTCAATCAACGGCATTACGCACCTTGTCTCTGCTTTTCGGCCACTCGATAGATCTCTTGTAGCCTTCGGGGAGTGGGACCAGGCAAGTGGGCCCCTCCTGAGGGCAATGCCTCTCCCGGTGCTCGAAGTGTTTGGTCGAGCGCAATTGTTTCAAAGCTTTCTCGTTATCCAAACAAGGTATATAATCGGGACCCGCAGTGACGTTGCAAATCTGCCACGTGTAACCGTAGATGCCATCCTGACCGTCGGTTTCGTCCTTGCGCCTCTCCTTCTGGTTCTCCGACTGGTCTGCTTGCGTGGACCACGACTTCTTAGACTCCTTCGACTCCTTGGGAATGCCTGAGTTGTCCCCGCCCAGTAACGAATCGCCCGAGTTGGACTCAGTAGCTCCCTGCTTGCTTTGATCAGCTGCATTGCCCGCCTGCTTTTGCTGAGAGTCAAAGTCTTGTTGGGTTTTTTCTGGGCTTTGTTTATTTTGATCAGAAGGTGTTTGAGAAAAGTTCTGACCATCAGATGCCTTGTCTTGTACTAGCAGGGTCGTCGTCATTGCATGGTTCGTCACGTCTGAGAATTGTATTTCACCGATTTTGGTCATGTTGGATTCTGAATTTTGTTGCTCTTGCTTTAGCTGTTGGTTCTGTTGTTCTTTTGCTTTCTGTTGTTGATCACTCTCTGAAGTCTCATTTTGAGATTCTTGTGATGAACTTCCTTGCTGTTCATCTGATGATTGGTTTTGGGACTCTTGTTGTTGCTGACCTTGTTGTGCTGTACCTTGTTGCTGATCTGCAATATCTGATTTTTTGTCATTCCGAAAATCTTGAGAACTTCCTTCTCTGCTTTCAGAATTGTTATTATTTGTTTCTTGCTGATCTTGAGACTTGCTCTCTGAATTAATCATTGGATCATTTCCAGAACTACTGCCTTCTCCATTGCTTGTAAACATTTTCTGGTTGTTCTGATCAGATTGATCCTCAGAACCCTTCTGGCTGTTCTGATCAGATTGATCATCAGAACCCTTCTGGCTGCTGACGCTCTGTTCATCATGGTCAGCTTGTTGTTGGCTATGTTCAGCCACTGAGCTGGTCTGGTCCTCAGACAATTGGCTCTGGCTAATTTCTTTCTCCTTTTGATCCTGCAACTCTTCGCTAACTTGATCTTGCTTATTATCACCACCTCCACTACTATTTTGATCTTGTGTGCTACTGCCCTTTGATGAGTTGTGGGGTAGATCATCGGATTTGATGGCGTCGTCTGGGAGATCACCGGGGTTGTCTTCAAAGGCCTTAGGGTTTTCACCATTGTTATTACTATTGTCATTGCTGGTGCTTTTGGTGATCACTTGGGCCTGATCATCTTCGGAGGAAGCCATGTTCAATGCGGTGTTGGTTGTGTCATCTGGGGAGGCGGTCGTGGCGGTTCGAGTACTTCTGTTGGTGGTTTGTGGTGGAACTCCTGTATTAGAGTAGTTGAGCATCCATACAGCAAAAACACATACTGCTATGAACACCATAATCGTAACAGTTGAGGCGTAAGAATTTGATGATGACGACGACCGCTTGTTACTGCGTGACCTCATTGTGCTCTCTGTATCAGTGTGTGTGAGAGAGAGACAGAGAGAGATGAGGATTTGAGTTGTATTTTTGTGGGAAGAAAAAGAAAAGGATCTAGTTAGTGTGATTAGTTTGTCTAGAGGGATCTATGTTTGTGGAGGAAGATGAAAGCGAACATCGCAATTGAGAGAGACAGAGACAAATTCTAAGTTGGAATGTCTCAAGATCCAAAGGAGTCGGAAAAGGGAATTTGTTATACAACAAATATTTTCTTTTTTCCATGCAAACTAAGCAAATATTGCATGCATGATATATATATATATATATGTGTGTGTGTGTAAGACTGCTTGAGCACACTTCCATGTAAATGTAAGTGTTGGGTTCCCATGCAAGCAGTGAAAGTAGAGAGAACATAAAATAAAAAAAACCCTTTTGGTAAGGCCCAAACCACACTGAAAAAACAAAAACTGGGCCTTGAGTAGCCTCTTAGGGCATTTTAAAGATCCACATCATTGAGACCCAAATAGAATTTTGGCTTATGTGCTTGGAAGGGCTTAATATATGGCCTTAGTTGAGGTCCTATT